GAATACGTTCTCGATGCCTTTTCCTTTCTCTTCACCTTCAGGAATATCCATGATTCAGATGTTTGTACCCTTAAGGTTATCTGCTATCTCACTTAGATTATCTTCATTTTTTTAAATTCTTTTTTCTTTTTTATCTGCCTGAGTTATTTAGAAGATATTGTCTTCAGGATCAGTACTTCTATTTTCTGCTTGCTATATCCTGTTGCTTAAACTTTCAATTGTGTTTTTTGTTTTGTTGAATGATTCCATTAGTTACATGAGTTTTGCTACATTCTTTTTTAAAGTATTATTACCTTTGTAGATTTCCTCCTTCACATCCTGGGTAGTTTTGCTCAGTTCATTGTGTCATCTAACTGCATCTTCTTGTGTTGTAGTCTGTTTTGTGTTGCTATAACAGAGATATCTGAGACTGGGTAATTTATAAAGGAAAGAGGTTTATTTGGCTTACGATTCTGGGACAGCTGCATCTGGCATGGGCCTCAAGCTATTTCTACTCGTGGTGGAAAGTGGCAGGCAGCTGGCGGGTACAAGCAGATCACATGGCGAGAGGAAGCAAGAGAGAGGAAGCAAGAGAGAGAGAGAGGAGGTGCCAGGGTCCTATAAACAACAAGCTCTCGCGAGAACTAATAGAGGGAGAACTCACTTATTACGTCCTCCTCCCCAGGGAGAGCATTAATCCATTCATAAAGGATCCACCCCCATGACTCAATAAGTTTCCAACACTGCCACATTGGAGATCCAATTTCCACATGAGTTTTGGTGGGGACAGCACATCCAAACTCCATCATCTTGTATCTCATTGAGTTTCCTAAAGATTTTACACAGAATTCCTTCTCAGTCATTTCAAGTGTTTCCTATTCTATGGGGTATGGCTCTTGAGGGTCATGATATTCCTTTGGTGGACTCATATTTTCTTGTTTTTTCATACTTTTTAGTATCTTTATGTTGATGTTTAGTCATCTGGAAGAGCTGTTCTATCTTCTATTACTCTCTTTCCCTGGACTCTGCTGGTGGCCCTCTTTGTGTCAACTCAGATGAGTGGTTGGTTGGCTGCTATGGCTTCTTCTGTGGTAGCAGGTCACCCTCATGGTGGCAGTGGTTGTGGTGGTGGTTTTGGAGGGTTGCCTGCATTGCAGAAGTGGCTCCAGTGGTGGCAGGCTGCTTGCACAATGATTGTGGCTCTCTGGCAGTGCTGGTGGTGGCAGTGACTGCAGCAGTGATGGTTGCACTACCTGCCTGCTTGTCTGTAGTGACCTCCACAGTGCCAGTTGCAGCTACAGTGACTGCAGCAACAGCTGGGTTAACTCACGGAGGTGGCAGTTGCACTGGTGGCTGTAATTGCTTCCCTTGAGTTTGCAGTGTCCACAGCAGTAGAGGGGTTACCTTGTGAGGGTGGCAGCAGCACTGGCAACTGCAACTATCTCCTTTGAGTTTGCTGTGTCTGCAATGACAGTGGGGTTATCTTGTGGGGGCAGCAGTGGTGCCAGAGGCTGCACCTGTCTCCCTCCCTTCTGTGATGTTCACAATGGAAGCGGGGGAAGTGGGGTTACCTTGTGGGGTGACAGTGGTACTTTTAGCTGCAACAGCCTGTGATGCTTCTGTGGTATCTGCGGCAGTAGGGGGGTTATGTCAATGGGGCAGCAGCACCTCTGGTGGTTGGAACTGCCTCACTCTCATCTGTGGTGTCCTAGGTGGCACTGGAGTTACTTTGTGGTGACAACAGCAGCAGCAATGGCTGCAACCGCCCCACTCTTGTCTGCAGTGGCCCTGGTGGCTGCAAGGCCAATTCGCTGCAGGGCAGCAGCAGGGGTCTGCCACTTTCTTACTTACTCCCTCAGTGGTCCTGGCAGCTGCAGGGGTAAGTTGCTGCAGAAGCAGTGGTTCTAGAAATTGCAACTGCCTCACTCACTCCCTCTAGGGCTTTGCAGCTGCAGGGTTAATTTACAGTGGAATCAGCAATGCTGGGGTCTGCCACTTCCTCACTCACTCCCTCAGACCCAGCCGATCCTACTGGTGTGAGGGCTGTGGCAGCAGCAACCACACTGCACACAACTATAGTAGAGGACCCGCGAGAGGCTGAGCTGGCTGTTGAGGCTGCTTGGGTGGGGGTCCTGCACGTGGTTGGTCTGGCTGGTGCAGGGGTGTAGACAGCCACTAGCAAAGGCTGCTGCACTTCAGGAGGCTGTGGCAGGGAACTCCCACATGAAAGGCTGACAGGTGTGCAGTGTGGGCAGGGATCCTGTGCATGTCTGGCCTGGTCAGAGCTGTAGTGGGTTTGGGTGGTTCCCAGCAACAGTAATGGCTGGAGCCATGCTGCAGGCAACAGCGGTGGCGGGATGGAGTGGAACTCAGTGGGAAGCAGGAGGGTGATGGTTCCGGTTCCTGACAATGTCACTGGTGAGTGCAGGGCTGGTAATGAAGGGACTGTTCTGTCTTCCTCTGTGGGAGAAACATGTCCTAGGTTTCTCTAGTCTGCCTTCTTTCCACAATCTCCGTAATTTGCAATGTTTTTAAGGAGTGGTTGTCCAAGACAATGTTCATTAGGTAAGAGAACACCATTACATAATCATTACTTAAGAGTGTGATAATTAATTCTTTGAATTAAACACTCCGGATCTGAAACTATTTCAAGATACAACCTCTGCAGGCCAATGTCCTAATTTTTCAGATGTCTGTAAGGCTCAGAGAGGGTCCACGGATGGTATGTGACACAGAGGACTGGAATTTAAATCTCCAGCTTCCTAGTGCTCCTTCTGCCATTTCTGACAGCCAGGGCTTAAGGTGGCATTAGTCCCAAGAGTAAATTCTGTATTTGCCTATTTTATACTTTCTCGGTTTTAGACTGTGAACAACTGGTGACTATTATTATCATTTACTTACTTGAAGAATTCTTTTCTTTAAAAATATTTTATTCTCACAAGTAATATATCTAAATTAAAAAAAAAAAAGTAAATATGGAATAAGAAAAAAATAGCCTGATTTCATATTTCCAGCAAGAGCTGCTGATCATGGTTTGGGTTTGCTATCTTCTTGACTTTTTCCTATGTGCATATTTTCATAGATGTATCATGTGTATATTTTTTATTTGAATGGCATCATATCAATCACAGTGCTCTGTAACATGATTTTTCACTTAAATATATGTCACAAATATCCTTATGGTTCAATAAATACAAAATCCCACTATCATTGTTGGTGGCCCCTCAGGATTCCATGATATAAACATACTATTATTTACCTGACCCAAACTGCTGGACTTTACTTCTTTCTTAAACAAAGAAAGTAGCAGGGGGAAGGGGATACCCTTGTGGTTTTCTGGGAAACTCTTCTGTCCTTCACACTTTTTCCAGAACACCCCTCCCCTATTTCCCTACCACCTGCAGGATAATCAAACTGAGGCTTTCCGGTCACTGGCTATTGGAAGAACAGCCACATACATTTGACCTGTACCCTACAATGGTTCCCATTTCACTCACAGTGAAAGCCAGAGTCCTCACAATGTCCTGGGACATTTGGCCCTCCCTTATTCCTCTAGCCTCATAGCCCACTACTTTTCTCTTCGCCCATTGCCCTCCTTTAAATATTCTTTAAATATGACAAACACACTCCCACCTCAGGACCTTTGCACCTGCCATTTCTCCATGTAGGAAATGCTCTTTCTCATCTCTTTCAGGTCTTTGCTCAGATATCAGCTTCTCAGTGAGACTTTTCCTGGGCACTATGTAAAATTCCAACACCTTCCTTCTCCCCACCCCCAGCCCCTCAGAATTTTGTATCCTCTTTCCTTGTTTGGTTTTTCTCCATAGCCTTTGTAACCTTAGGGCAGACTATATATTTTACTTGACTGTTTATTGTCTTTTCTCCGTCCTCTATAATGTAAGGATGGGGTATTATTTTCCTGTTTTATTCTCTGCTGTGTTCCTAGTAACTAGGAGAGGAGGGTCTGGTACATAGTAGGCACTCTATGAATTTTAGTTGGATGAATAAATGAATGGAAGAGAAATAAACAGAACTGATATTAGGTAAACTTTTTAAAAAAATTTGGTGGCTGCCAGTTTGGAAATCAAAACCCTTGATATTGGTGTTATCAGCACCACACTCTAACCAATTGAGCTAACCAGCCATCCCTTACTAAGTTAATGCTTAAAGTGATTCTGATACCCAGGGAGGAAGAATCTTCAGTCTTCATGAGGAGAACATTCTCCTACCTCATTTCCTTGCTGGCCTCCCTTCTCAAGCTTCCCTGATGCCCTGGTCGAGACTGGTGTCTCATTCTGCTACTCCTTAGTACCCAGTATTTCCTGCATCAAAGCGCACATCACTCCAATAAATGCCCCCCATGGAGTTATAAGCTCCCTAAAGATAGGAACTGCTGTATCGTCAGCTTCTAACACCAAAGTTGGATGGATGAGGAGTTTTCAGTACCATTAGGCCAGCTCTTGTGACTCTAATTTTTCTTGTGATTTTAATCTCAAAATATCTGCTGATGGCCTGGAGTGGCATTTAAGAGCACAGGTTTCAGAATCCCTCAGAACAGGGCTGAATCCTGACAATAGCAGTTCCAGACATTTAACATCTCTAGGCCTCAGTTTCCCACTCTGGAAAATGAGGATTGTAAGTCTGAATTGTGCAGGGTTTGAAGCACGGGCTCTGAAGTCAGACTGTCTAATTCTGCTGCTTACTAGCGATGCACCCCCAAGCAAGTTTCTTAACCTTGCTGTGCCTCAGTTTCCTCATTTGTCAGAATAGAAATTATTATAGGATCCCATGGGACTGTTGTGGGGATTAAATGAGTTAATACATGTAAAGTGCTTAGACTGGTACCCAGCAAAAGATAAATGCTCCCTACTATTATTATTAATTATTATTATTACCACCTACCTCAGAGGATTTTAAGGGGATCACAGAAGATAGATGCATGTGAAAGCATTTAGCACAAATGGTAAATGCATAGTAAATAGGAGCTCTCACTTTTCTTGTGATTTGTGCAGGAGTCTTACCGGAGGCATTATTCTGTCGACACCAGCTCATTAAATCTCCAATCCTGCCGTACAGAACATCACCCAGGGCCATAAAGCGACGGGCATTCTCTGCATAGCTACTAACAAGGAGTTGGTTATTTTCCCAGAACAGGGACTAGGGAAACACAAGAAAAAATGAAAATAAAAATAAAATCAAAACAGATTTCTCAGGCACAACATCATCAAGACAAGCAAGGTAACCCGTTTCTCATTCAACTCTGACTTGCTGCACAACAACTGAATTCTTTTTCTTTGTCTTTATGTACCCACTGGAAGGGTGCTACCATTTTTCCCCCCTTTATTCCAAGGGGATCATGCAAATGTTAATAAAATATTTTCCTAGAAGTATAATACACACACACACACACACACACACACACACACACACACACGTGGTAAGATCCCTGCATTAAAAAAGACCAAGGGAACTAGGTTCAAATCCTGCCTTGCTGTGGATTGGTTGAATTATGTTCCCCAAATTTCATATATTAGAAGCTTAATCCCCATTGTAACTATTTAGGATGGGAAATCCTATTATGGTAATTGAAAGGTGGAGCCTTGAAGAGACGATTAGATTGTAGGACCGTGCAGTAGTGAATGTATTAAAAAGTGGTGGTCAGGGGCATGGTTCTGAGGGCTTTAAAAGAAAAGAGGAGAGTCTGTCATCCTTTCTTTTCTCTCTCTGCTTCCACCATGCAGTGTGAGACCCCTGGGTCACTGTCACCACCACCAAGACCCTCACCAGATGTATTCCCTGGAGTTTGGACTTCCTAGTCTCTGAAATTATAAGGAAATAAATTTTGTTTTCCTTATAAAATACCAGTTCCGTGTATTTTGTTATGAGCAACAGAAACAGACTAATACATGCCTGTCACACACTGAATGTGTGATCTCCTAGCTTCCCAGTTTCTACATCTGGTAAATGGGGAACATGAGCCCTCTCTCCACCACAGCTGTGGTTAATATGATATGCAATCACAAAAAACACTTTCTAAAGTGTAAAGTGCCTCAAAAACACACCATTTTATATTATACTTCATAGTTTTCACTATAGTATTTTTACATAACAATAATATAAATAACAATTTCACTTATTAGCCCATCTGATCCTCAATAGTCTAATCAGCCTATATTTTGACCAGAAGGTCCCCAAGAGCAGCGGCTGTTTTTCACTGTTACATCCTTAAACTTTAGTGTGATGCCTGGCGCACAGAAGAAGCCCAGTAAGTTGAGGTGAGTTTATCAACTAGCACCAAATCTATGTGAAAGAAGAACAAAAATTATGTTTTTCCTTTTTACTGACAGGGAGGCAGCAAGTTTCAAAATACAACATATACTTAAAAATCATGTTTTTAGTATGTTATATCTTTAAACCTCACAGTTTTATTTACCTGCCTTTACAAGTAACACACAATGGAAAAATCAGGTTAAGAATGATTGTCAAAAAAATAAAAACGATATCTAACTTTTTAAAACTCAAGGTACTGTGCTAACCAAGAATTTCATATGGATTTTCTCGTTTATTTTATTTTATTAGTCCTTAGAGTGCAGACAGAATATAGACATGTGGTTTTCTAAAAGAAAGTGGTACTGAATAAATATAAATATAATCTTTTTTTTTAAAAATTATTACTTTATTACAAATATTCATGAGATACAAAGCTGATTGTCACCCCTCGTTCCCATGATATGAGGGCCAGGTTCATACTGGGGGCATACCCATTACCAGAAATAACTTTTGTACCCCATGTACCCACCCAATTTTCCTCAAAACTCCCTACCCCTTCCCCTCTCTCCCTGACTCCAATTTGTAGCCCTAGGAATGTTCCCTCCCTCTGTTGGATCATGACACTACGGTGGTCTTTCTTTCCTGCCTTCCTTTCTCTCTTAGGTCCCACATATGAGTGAGCACATGTGGTATTTATCCCTCTGTGCTTTCCTTGTTTCACTCAACATAAGTTTCTCCAGGTTCATCCATGTTGTTGCAAATGAGAGTATTTCATTCTTTTTTATGGCAGAGTAGTTAGTATTCCATGGTGTACATATACCACAGTTTCCTTATCCAATCATCTATTGATGGACATTTACTTTGGTTCCATATCTTGGCTATTGTAAGCAGAGCTTCAATAAACATGGGAGTGCAGGTATCTATTCGACATGATGATTTCCCTTCCTCTGGATATATACCCAGAAGTGGGATTGCTGGATCATATGGAAGATCTATCTGTAGTTGTTTGAGAAACCTCCAAATTGTTTTCCAAAGTGGTTGTACTAATTTACAGTCCCACCAACAGTGCAGGAGTGTTCCCTTCTCTCCACATCCTCGCCAGAATTTGCTACTCACCATCTTTTTGATTATAGCCAGTCTAACTGGAGTGACGTGGTATCTCAATGTGGTTTCCCAGACAAACAAAAGTTGTGGGAGTTCACCACCACACAACCAGCCCTGCAAGAAATTCTCAAAGGAGTCATTCATCTGGAATCTGGATAAATATAATCTTAAAACCATAAAAAGAGAGATTTACCTCCTAGGAGGATACTGAGTTTGAGTGTTTTCTGAATTACTCAAGATGCAGGCCATTGGGCCAGTTAGGATGGAGGTTATTCAGAATTGGCCAGATGTGGAGGCCAAGTGTGAAAGATATAGTCATGTCCTGATGTCCTCGTGGTGGCTCCTGCACTGTCTTGCTGACTTGGGAGATTTCCTTCTGCACATAACTGAGCAGGAGACCCAGGATCACGGTTGGAGACAAAGCTCCTCTCCCACCAGAGAGCTTGGTATGCATGTTGTGAGCTTATTGATGTTTCAGTAACACTGCAGGATGCTGGGGGCAGCTAATCTCACACCTGGCCTGTGCACCATCTCTCTCTAGAGAGACAGAGAGTGAGATTTTACCAGAGATGGTTGTAGAGTTACCTTGTCTCTGGGAAGGGAGTGCCCGGAGAGGTTAATAAAAAGGTCATAGTCCGAGGGAAGTACAGAACAGGGATCCTTGTCCAGCCCCACTTTAAAGGCTTCCCAAATGGCTGTGCAGTTCTTGTCCCTGTGCAAAAGTGCAAGTTAAAACACATACACACACATATTATGATGTGATATAAAGTATTTCCCTTTCTCTAAAGGCTTTACAAACTATTTTGCCATATATTGTCTCTGCAGAACTAGGCATACAAAAAAGACAACAAATTGTCATGGTTCAGGCAATGGATTTAGAAATCTGGCATTGCAAGTGTCTCTCAGAAGGTGCAGCACAGATTTCTCAGGGCTAAGGAATGTAGGCTTGCCCCAGGCTCGCAGAGACAAGCTAGAAGGTGACAATTCCAATAAACTATGCAGCATCCCAGCTTCAGGTGCCCCTTCATGTAGACATGAGGATGGAGCCAGTCCAGCTGTCCAGGTCCATGTGAGGCTCAGGGACAAGGTTGGGGGTAGGGGGGAGGCAGGACTAGTGAAGTCAGGAGGGAACAGCACCCAGTGTTGGGAAAGGCTTCTCCGTCCTGGTAAGGCAGAGAGTATGCCCTCCGGTGCAGCCCTGCTCCTGAGGTCCACGCTGGCTTCCAGAAAACATTTCCCACCGTATTTGTAACTTTTTATTTCTCATGCTGGCTGTTGGGTAATGCTGTTTGTTATCCTCTGCTCTTTTTTAACTGCCTGAAATGTGTCACAATAAATACAACTGACGCTTAAGAAAGGGATATTAGGAAAACGGGAAAGAGTGAGCCCAACGAAGGAACAAAACTTAGTAAGAAGCACAATGCTGGCATGAAAGACCCAGACTTTACTTCTAGATTAGAGGGTGTGAAATCTGAATTCCCAAAGGACCTGGGCTCAAGGAATTCCAGCTGGAGACCACATTCTGGGATCTGAGGGATCCGGCTAAGCCTGCGCTGGCTGGCAGAGGGTTGTCATCCAAACTCACCTCTACTTAACCTCACCTTTAGACGGACCCCCGCCCCCTTCACACGCACACGCGCACGCACGCACGCGCACGCACCCCTCGCCTCTAGACCCCGCACAGTGCACCTGTCACCTGTAGATTGCCCACCCCTACGGCCCCTCTCACCTCTAAGTCCGCAGGCCCCCGCACAGACACACCTCTCACCTGCAGACCCTCTAATCCCCCCAGCCGCGGCGCTCACCGGGACTCGGGGCTCAGCAGCGTGATGTACTCCGCGCAGCGGCCCAGGACGATGCTCTGCAGGTGCGGGCTGGTGCCCTCCCCGCGCCACCGCGCGCCCGCAGCGCCCGTCGCCAGCAGCAGCAGCAGCAGCAGCAGCGGCAGCCACGACGGCGCGCACCCCCGGACCGCCATCGAGAGGACTGCGGTCCCTCCAGCGTCGTGCCTGCTCCGCGCGCTTCCCCTCCTCCTGCCAAGGCTGCCCCCTCGAGCCGAAGCGGGGCAGGACTCTCGCCCTAACGCCACCACCCGCGCTGTCATTCTGTCCTCCTTTCTTCTTCAGTTCTGAGACTGAGCTTGGGACATCACCAGAGAAAGAAACTATTTTGCTCGTGGCTAATCTTGGCCGTAGTCCTCGAGGAGGGAGCCCCAAAGAAGTGAGGTTGGAAAATGGGTATTGAGAGTTGAGTCACCAGGGAAGAATTTTCTGGCTCCAAACGCTGACAACTTTGGCAGACGCCCTCATTCCACTACCCAAGAAGCACAAAACCTGGTATTGATTGAGTTGTTGTTATGTGCCAAGCACCCTACAGGCGTGATATTCTCTTACTTTTCACAACACTCTCCTAGCTAGGTTTATAATTATCCCCATTTTAACAGATAATTAAACTCAGGGAAACGAAGTAACGGTCAGAGGTCACAGTCTTCCTTCCTAGGAGGTGATCAACTGAGAGAGCCGAGATTAACAGAATTCCACGGGAGCGCCAAGTCCACAGTTCTTATGATAAGGATAGCTGCGGACTCTGAGAGCCTGGCAAGCGACTGATGAATGTTGGGGCAGGCAGGGAGGGTAGGTTTCTATAACATTTTACTTGAATCTCTTTTTTTTCCTATCCAAAATCTACATTCTCCTGTCCAGCCCTTCCTTCAGTCAACTCCACTTTCCAGAGATAAGCATTTTCAACAGTTTTTTTTTTTTTTTTGCCCCCTGGTATTTACTTCCATGTTTATAAACAACTCACCTGCATGCTGTTTCTTAATGTTTCTGTTTTGGGTATTATTCTTTGACTTCCTAGTATGGAAAAGAAGATTTTGGCTTTATCACCCTCCCCCCCACCCCCGCCCCCAGGCATCCTTCTGTACCCTTTATCCTCCCAATGTAGTTATATCACAGATTTAAATCAATTATCAGCATTGGCATTATTATGACCTTGTGAATATTATTCATGGCATTCTATGATTATGTTTCCTTTGTTGGAAATCTGTTTACCCTAGAGGTAACAATTGCCCCCCAACACACACTTAATTTCTTTGTTGTCTTGGTATTCTATGTACAGTTATCATTATGGTCCAACTCTCTGTAAGACATGTAAATCTCTCAATGCATTCAAAAGCATCAGTCAATATTTCGGGTGGTGTGTGTGATTTCTCTCCGTCTCTGTCTCTTGGAAACATTCTTTCTAGAGCTGTCCAACTTCCTGTCCCAATCTGAGCTGTTGTTCTCTCAGTTTACTGTCTATTTGTCATCCTGCTACCCCCCTTCCATGTCTCCTGAGTTGGATGCCCTATTTCCTAGATCTCATGTCAATGATGTGGCAGGACATCCTTCTTTTTTTTTTTAAAGAAAAAACAACTTTTAAAACTATTTTAAATTGAGGTAAAATATACTTAATATAAACATCATTGTAACCATTTTAAGTGTGTATAGCATTTTACTAGTGCTTGGGAAGTACAAAGATTACTCAGTCACACAGAAGGCTCTTTGAAGAGGCGTATGACTCATGGATCCCCTTGACCTTCTCAGCAGAAGCCAAATATAGATGCAATTATTTAGGAAAGATCTGTGGAGCAGTCTCTCTTTATTTTATTTTATTTTATTTTATCAATATACAAAGTAGTTGATTTTCTTGTCCTTTTATCAATTCCTCTCTCTCCCTTCCCTCTCCCCCTCCCACCCATCAACATCATATCTGTTCACTTGTCTTAACAAGTTCAAGGAATTGTGATTGTTGTGTCTTCTTCAGTCTCTCTTCTAATGGAGTGAATCCTTGTGACCCACAAAGTTTTTGAAAAATGTTATACCAATAGAAGCATTGTCGAGTTGGACTAAAAGGGACAGTGAGAGGACGAAATGAAAGAAGGCTGTTGGGCTCCCAAAATTCTATAGGCAGGAAACAGGACGATAAAACCACTCAGTAGCAGACGTGTGCTATTCTTCATAAGAAACGATGGCTCCACCTGTGCCACCCCATATCTGCCTGCTGCTTGCACCGGAGGGCTACTGAGCCAAGCCAGGTTATATGCCATTGCTGCTGAAAAAAAGAATGATCTTCAAGAGGAATCTGCTTCTTCTCCTAGAAGGAATGCCAATCAATTTGATTGGGCTCTAATGAGATTAGATAATTTTGTCTGAAGAACTGGCTGCATTCTACAAAGACACTTCTAGAAAAAGTCTTTGATAGCACACACCCCTCAGGTAGCCCAGGTGGTAATCAAGCCTTGCTTCTACTGTGCAGCTGTGGATCTCTCTTGGTTGAACTAAAGCTTGAAAAGAGAACAAAATTTGCTCATAGCATGTGAGACGAACTTCAGAAATTGGGTACTGTGTATGATGTGTCACTACAATGCATTACTTAAAAGCCTATCTTCAAAATAAACATAAATTCTCACCTACTGATTTCCTGCCAAACATTCAGCCAAACTATGTAACGTACCAGAGGTTAATTGCTGCTTATTGTAATGTAGGAGATATTGAAGGTGTCAACATGATAATGTAGAAAATGCCTTGCATAGCTTGAATAAATCTGTTGTCTACATGATAATGTAGAAGATGCATTGTAGAACAAACAAGAATTTGACAGTTTAGATTCATCTGCTGTCCTTGACACCAACAAGTATGTAGGCCACGTAAAAGTATCGGGAAAGCATGGCAAGCTCCAACGTGCTATTGACATTCTAAAGTAGATGAAAGAGAAGGATGTTCTTATAAAAAATGCAACAGTCTTGTCCTTTTTGCACATCCTAAATGGCACAGCTTTAAGAGGTGAAATTGAAACAGTAAACAGTTGCATGAAGCCCTTGTGACTCTAGGGTTAGCAAAACCATTCACTAACATAAGTTCCCCATTGGTCACTATATACCTGGAAAAAGATGACTCATCTGTTGCTCTTGAAGTCACCATTGGCTGCTATGAAAAGTATAAAATATTACCAAATATTCATGATGTCTATGTAAACTGATAGAGGAAGACTAGACAGATCTTAATTCAGAAAGCACCAGACTTTGTCAGACAAGAACAAGGTGAAATGATAGTGCTCTACGATCGATCTCCTTTGCCTTCCTACAAACAGGAAATTACTAAGACCAAGAAGATCATTGAGACTTCAGACATTGGAGCTTGACCTATTAGACTTCAGTGGTTTTGTGATAGTATTACAAGTGACCAGGTGAAAACCCTAGGAAAATTAGTGGAGCTGACACAGAAGCGATTTGAATGTGATAGAGACCAGACGTAGTATAGTCTGCTAAAACTGTAGAAAATAAATGGTGACTGCCAAAGAGCTGATGCTATCTAGAATAAAATGCAAGAAGAAAATGTTATTCCTCGTGAGAAGGCATTAAGATTATTAGTGGAAATCCTTAGAAACAGTAATCAGGAAGTTCCATTTGATGTACCTGAGTTGTGGTATGAAGATGAAAAATATTCCCTGAATTCTCCATCACCCTCAACTGTAGAAACTAAGTTCCGGAAAGATGTGCTGAATGCCTGCCAATGGAAGAAAAACAAAGGTGTGTTTAATATTTTCCTGAAAGCACAACAGCAAAACGTTGTGTTTAGCAGTGAAGCTTATAGCAGTCTTATAAAATTACTATTGTCAAAGGAATGTCTTACACAGCAGTGCAAGTGAAAGATTTCGCTGTGACCCACATCAAGGGCTTCACACTGAACATGGTGCCAAGAGCCTCCTCATCATAATGCAAGTTAGGCAGGATTATTTGAAAGAGGCTCTAACAATGCTAAAACAGCCTTAGATCTGGAGCAGACCCTTTCTAGGGTAGCAGTGACGTGCCTTATCCAGGCATTTGCCTTGAAGGGTGATCTACAAAGCATAGAAGCTATTCAGAAGATGATAAATGGACTCGAAAACTCCATTGAACTTTGAAATATGGCTTTCATCAATAGCATTGCTCTGGCACAAATAAAAAACAATAACATAGTTGTTGCCATAGAAAACATTGAAAATATGCTTACTTTCGGGAATCAAACTGTGGAACCCTAATACTTTGGCTTGGTATACATATTCAGAAAAGTAATAGAGGAGAAGTTGGAATCAGCAGTTGAGAAAATAAGCATCATTGCAGAGAAACTGGCCAATCGGTTTGTAGTTTGCAAACCTGTCACTGATCTTTTCCTTCAGCTTATGGATGCAGGCAAGGTGGATGATGCCAGAGCTGTCCTGCAGAGATGTGGTAGAATTGCTGAACAAACCCCAATTTTGTTGGTATTCTGTGTTGGGAGTTCTCTGAAACCTTCCCTTCAGGACAGACAACAACTCTGAAATCTTTGTTAGAATTGATTCCTGAATTAATTGGAAAGGATGAAACATACACTTCCATCATGAAAAGCTATGTCGTGGACCAAGATGTCCTGTCTGCTTAAGTACTATATGAGCATTTGACTGCAAAGAATGTAAAATTGAATGACCTGTTTCTAAAGTGTTATGCATTTTTGCTGAAGAATGTTGGAGTCTGTCCCTTTCACTGAGTCCCCTAAACACTTGAGTTTTATGCAAAGCAGCTAAAGGAATCAAAGGAAAACCCTTCATGAGATAAGGCTTTACTTTGTTTTGTGTGTATCTGTGATTCTAAGAGTCATTTTAAAAATGTATTTGAGAAGGGGGGAAAAAGGAAGGATGGCTCTGAAAGTGAAACCACAGGTACAGAGGGCAGCGGCAGTAGCTATGCAAATTATTCCCAGGATTTGAAACCTAAAGGAGTTTACCTAGCTGGACTTTGAAAGTGATCAGCTGATTACTCCTTTTTACCTTTTTTCTCCCTTTTGGATTTTTTGTTTTTAATTCACTTTTGTTTTTGTGGGGTACAGTGTGTTGTTTCAATACATGCATATCTTGCACAATTCACTTAGGGTAGACAGCAGTTTTGTCCCTATTACTTCACCTCTAATCTTCCTATTTTCTCCCTTTTTGAATAGGAATGTTTATGACTTTTACCCTATGCCTGTGCCACCAGTTTGGGAGTACAGAACTTGCTCTCTAGTTTCATAGGTCCAAAGATGGAGAATATTGAACCAGAATGGATTATACCTAGAGCTGCATCCATACATAACTTAGAGGATTTAGATAACAGATTTGGGACTTTTGAGCTGAGGAGACTTAACGATGATATTTTGGATTTAACGCTGTAATGGGTTGAAACTTTTGGGGACCTTGGGATGGGTCAAAGTATTTCTCCTGTGAGATGGATATCTTTAGAGGCCAGAGCGTGGACTATGGTAGGCTAAATAATGCCCACTCCCCACACCTAAGATGTCTACATGCTATCCCTGAAACCTATGAATATGTTACCTTACATGATAACAGATTTCGCAGAAACGACATATGTATATTTACAGAAAAACACAAAGCTTCAGGTTCATAGACACAATTTATTACAGCAAAAACAGCAGCCAGAGCAGCATCGTATGTCAGCTTCCCATGCTCCAATTCCCACAGTGTGATATAAGGGCCAGGTGTTACCTCTGCATGCAGTGGGTTGCACCACAAAAGAGCCCCAAATTTTAAGAGACTCTATCCTTTTATGAGGCTGCAGGCATTTCTGCTCATCTTCCCCTCCAGACAGATATTATTCTTGGAAAGTAAGCAAGTCTCTGGGGAGGGAAAAGAGAAGGTGTTTTCTTTACTTCCCTGGGATGTCTATAGGGAAAGAGATGTCTCTAGCTTCACTATCCTGGGAATACATTAACTTGGATGCAAATATCTTCATTCTGAGGATCCAGACTGTGCAGAAATGTGAACTATTCACACAGAATTATTTTCCAACAGTTTATTCCAAGTATCAAAGAGGAAAAAAATTATATTAACTTCAATAAAATAGAAAATCCAAAATATCAAATATTACATTAAGGCTAGGCGTGGTAGCAGATGGAAAGGAATTGCTACCTCATATGACTTTTAAAGAGAAAGATCATGCCAAAAACATCACCTGTGGGGACAGGGAGTATGCAAAGAGAGGCACAAGTTGAAATTAGTCTGAGGAAGATATATTACACAATATAAGTTACTTAATCATCAGCAACGTGAGGAAGCAAAATCAATAAATGCCATTTTTGGATGTTTGTAGAAGTCATCTGACAAAATGAGATTTTAAGAAGTAAAAAAGGCAAAGAAATTTGCCACACATTTAATAACTATTCCTGGGAATATGACTGCAAACTACCAATGTTAGATATCATTGATTCATTTGTCCTTTATCAAATATATAGAGTACCCACTTACTATGTATCACGCAAATGGACATGATCTCTGCTCCTACAGAGCATTCATTCCAGGGTGGCAGAATGCCAGAGACAGTAATCAAATAAATAATTACAAATTGTACACTACAAAGAAAACAAAGAAATAAAAGTAAAAATAATGGAGAAATTACTCTAAAGTGGTAAGGAAAAAACCTCTTTAGGGAAGTAACATTTGTTTTAAGAATTTAAAATAGTAGCCAGTGTGAGTCTTTTAGAACCTAATTTAGATCATGTCTCTCCTCTACTTAAACCCTTCAATTGCTCTGTTTTACTGACAAAAAGCCAGAGATCCTATAATGGTCATAATTTGGTCCCTTAATACTTCCCTGACATATAGCCCTTATTATCTTCTAAATATTATAAAGCTCATTTATTATGTTTATTGTCTCTCTCTCCTGGTCAGGATATAAGCTCCACTAGGGAATAATCTTTGTTTTGTTCACTTTTGTATTCCTAATGTCTCTAGAGTAGTTCCTGGCCTCTGACAGTTCATTAAATATTTGTTCAATAAAAATAAATCACATGATCTTATTAATACTTAAATATAACAAAATTAAAACACAACAAAGGCATCACATACAATGTTATATTAACATTTAAATATAACATAGCAAAATGTTACAATATAAGAAATACAAAAATAAAAACTAGGTAAGATTTTATTTAATGTGATGGGTGTGCTTGCCTGTTCATAAGTTCATTCCAGTCTGGAACACAGGAAGACAATGCTACCCGCATATCTGCTGCACCGTCCAACCCATTTCTTTTCTTTGTTTTTAACTGGGTTAGGACTGAAAACCCTTGTTCACACAAACTAGTCGTTGTGAATGGTAGTAACAGCAGGACACTCTTTCTACTTAGCAAAGGAAAGTCTTCCTTTATCTTAATCCAAAATGCTGATAAACTTAAGGTCTCATAATCATTCTTCAATATATATGAAGAACTAAGCTGCAATAATTCATTCTCTTCTTCAGGCACCAAGTTTAAATCATTTATTGATTCAGGGTTTTGAAAAGCAAAGGGATCTTTTACCCAACTGTTTTCCCTTAATGTTTCAAATTTCTCTTCCGGAAAGAAATGGTTAAAAGTTTGAGATAGAGAAGTGAGATGTAACAATATCTCTAATTTTATTTCTTTCAAAATGCTTTCATTAATAATATTCTCTTCAATATGTTGCAAAAATCTTGGAAACATGTAGTAGCTAGGACGATTACTTTTAAGCCTTGCTTGCCATAACAGCAACGTCTTTCGGAATCCTTGAATACGTTCGGCATATTGGAATATATCACTGTTTTTCCCTTGTAATTTTAAACTCAGTTCATTAAGAATGCCAAAAATATCAGTTAAATATGCCAATTTCGTTACCCAAATATCATCTTCCAAAATATTTGCCAAATGAGATTTTTTTTCAATGAGAAAAATGTGAATCTCATTCCTGAGTTCATACACCCTGCTTAATATTTTCCCTTGAGACAACCAACGAACTTTGGTTTGATAAAGTAAGTGGGTATGATTAGTCCCAATCTCTGAACAAAATGTTTCAAAAAGTCGGCTATTCAGTGAACTTCCTTTAATAAAATTAACAACTTTCACTGCATTTTTCAATACTTCCATGAGATTCTGTGGAATTTCTCTGGTTGCTAAAGCTTCACGATGTATAAAACAATGATTCCACACAACACCATTATTAGTAACTTCTAGCAATTTTTTAATTACTCTGCCATGTTTTCCAGTTATGCTTGCTGTTCCATCACTTGTAATTCCTTTACAGTTTTTCCAGTTTAATTTATATTGACCAATAATGAGCTTTTCTAATTCTGTAAAAATATCTAATCCACTTAGGTGTGAGGTTAAATTTAAAAAACACAACAAATCCTCCAAAAAATCATCTTGCCATGCATATCTGACATAAACCATAAGTGTTACGCAGCTTTCAAAATTCGTGTTTTCATCAAGCTGGATTGCAAAATCTATACCAGACTGTAACCGAGTAATGAGCATTGTTTCTAAATGTTCTGCAATAGTACAAATTCGAAGAGAGATTGTTTTATCACTGGGTATAGTTTTTAATTTATCAGCTGATTTGTCATCAAAAATTGTACGCACCATATCCAAACATGCTGGAAGAATAATTTTTTCAGCAGCTGTGTGAGCCATCTTCTCTTTTGCCACACGATATGCAACTAAATACGATGATAATAAGGCTTTCTCACTAACAGTAGCAGAACAACTAAGAAATTGTGTTGATAATCCTATGTCTTTTTTCTTTCTCTGAAAATATTCAAGAGGCTTATCAATAAGTTCAGCATGCTGAGTTTCTAAGTGCCTTTTTAATTTTGAAGGTTTTAAGCTTTCATTAGCAAGAATATTATTACAAATAACACACTGAGGTCTGTCATTTTCAAAGGGTTTTTCACATTTGATAAAACCGTATTTTAAATAATCTTCATTATAACGTCTTGCACTTATTTTTTTCTTTTTGAAATGTGGCTCGAATGAAGTTGAAATTTGCAGATTAGAGTCAATATTTTTCTCAATATTGTTATTATTCACACTTTCAGATCCAACAGCTGAATTTGAACAAGCTTCTGTATATTTCATTTCATTATTCCTCTTTCTTTTAATAAAGAAATGATCCATCTCAACAGCAATTTATTCCACTTTGATTAAAAAAATTTATATATAGCCTAATCTTTCCAAAAAATGCAAAGTTTGCAGCTGAATCTCAATTGAATATCTCAGGCTTCACATCTAGTTGCAAGTCATGATAACATAAAACTAGACTGCACAACATTAATCTTGCTATTATGAAAACTAAACAAGACACCAGTGTGTAAATGACTGAAAACCTTTTCCTGGCCAACATATATTCTATTCATCATATCCCCTCCATCAAATACCCTTCTCACTTATTGAAACTGACCTCAGTATTCCCTAAAATGTGCATAATTCAGGCAAAGGATCCATGCAAGCACTCTAATATATTTTATTTCATTTTTAAAAAATGTTCATTGTGACTCACAGAATTGATTACATGACTCACTAATGGGTCACACACATAGTGTGAAAAACAGATATAGAGACATTTTGAGCCCTTTGCTGTGCTGGTGGCTTAAGTATGTTTGCTTGCTGATGAAAGAAACTAGCTGATCTGATAGATTGTTGGCTTGTACTTTAACTTCTTCAACTGATAGGAACATATCTTACATTTTCATTCTTGATACTTTTTGATGGCAACAGATTTTAAAAGTGCCAGTTATGGTCTGATCTGCTGAGCACCCAATGGTTGGAGCTGATGATATATTTTTACGGAACTTTCTTGGAATGCATCCTTTACCTGGGAATAAGACCAGAGACATGACATTAAAACATCACAATACAGAGTAATATTACTGCCAGCTGTGGGGAAAGGGGAAACTTTATGATATCCAAGATCATGGGGTGGTGAAGCAAAAAGCCTATAGCTCTTCTCATCACTGTCTTATATGGGCTTAGGTCTATTTCTGTAAGGTAAATTACCTCAGTCAAGAACAGTAAATAAAAAAATGATGTCAGTAAAACCCTGAAGTGTGCATTGGGAGTTGCAAAGTACATTAACAAAGCTGAACATGGCAAACCATGGATGAGCTCATTTACCATATATACTTTCTCTTAGCTTGGCCATACCTGTCTTGAAAGTACTTACTGCATTTCTCTCTTTGATCTTAGTGTATTCGGGTCTTATCACCACAACACAGCAGCTTCAATCCTTCCTTACCCGCCTTTCCATCAAGTTATCTCACTTTGGTGGGGGGAGGGTGTAAAGTCTTATATTTACTGTAGTGTTTATTTATTAGGAATTCAACATGTTTTAACTATGTTAAAACTTTTGTTAGGACTGTTTGTATTAATTATATTTTCTTATTTTCTGCTCTGGCATCTGGGTGAGGCCTCACCAACTAAGGAGGTACTGCCCTTCCAATGGTCAGCTAATTCCTGTGTAAACTAACCAACCGAGAACCCTCCTCCTCTTTGGGTTTTTACATTCCTGGCCAATATTCCTCTGCCCTAATCATCCCAGGGCCAGGTATCAGGCCACTAGGGATAGATCTCATGCCCAAGCCAGCTGAAATTTTCAAACTAAACCTGCTTAAGCCTGCTTACCCCGCTTTGCCCGTTCCTTTCTAAGAAAACCAAATAAAGGCTTTCATGCAGTTTTTGTTATGCTTCCACTGCATACTAACTGAGCCTGGTACTTCCCAGTGTGGCACCCCTGCATGGTATAGGATGTGGTACCTCCTGTTTCTAGGAATTTGTGAATATAAAAACTTCTTCCTTCATGACAGCCATTCTCATGTCTGCAAATCTTACCATATCTGATTGAAACAAATCCTGGGTAAATTTGTAAACATCATTATTTTGTGTTATTGCTCTGGTTACAAAGTTGTATAGTTTGGCCCTAGCCCTCTTTTCCCCTTAAGCTTTGTTATTTTTTAAAACAAATTTTGCAAACCATGAATTCTTCTAGAAAGTCATAATGTTAAATCCTTTAACTACGGTTAAGTAGCTAGAGATCTACTGTATATGGTACCTGGTTGTACTTTAAAAGGTGTGCATCTGAGAGAGAATTCAGAACCTAGTAGATGCCTTTGACTTAATCTTGGTTAAATGTTTCTTTGAAAGGTGACACGTTTCAAATATTTAACCTTGGTCCGAAAGAGACAAAGCTCTTCTTTGGAAGTTTTACAAGGACATCAGTAGGACTAAGGAGTTTATGGCAGATGCCTCTTGGATGTCAGAGCATGGTGCATGTCATCCAAATATGAGATAAGAACTATACTGCTGGAAAAGCAATTGCATCTAGAACTCCTTTTAATGAATAAGAAGTTTGAAGCAATTCACAGTAGCCTTAGGCAGTCTGAATCAGGTATACAGCTGATCTAAAAACATGAAAAAGAACATTTACTCTCTTCCTACCATAGTTAAAAGTTCCAATACTGATGTTCACCTGTTTTTAATGTCTCATCCCCTCCCCTCCCCCAACTCTCAAACTACAATTTTGTCCTTCTGCCACTTCTCCCCAGATATTTTACAGATATTTACCTTATATAGCTAAAGAAAAATGGTGCTAAATAAAACATGCTACAAAGTCTTTTGTTAACCCTCCTCTTTCTCTGTTTGTCTTTTAACGGAGCCTTCATAGGAAGCCAGAGGAGTTTTTGGGGATAGGTTCAAACCTGAGCTTCTGGCCTAACCATAAATTCTGGAACTTTAATTTAAACAGAGACATGCTCCATTAGAACTCAATGTAAATCAGAGCATATACATTCCAGAACATGAGCAAGTATACCAGTGTGATTCTGTAACCCAGATGGGTTCTGCTGGGACAAGTCTCTTCTGGTCAAAACCTCAAGGACTTACGTATACACTGATGCCTAAGATTTGTGCACTGAGGTTGCCTGTTGTGGATATAAGATCACATTTCATTTTGTTTTTTTTTGTTGTTGTTGGTTTTATGTGTGTATTTTATTTTATTAATTTTTACTTTGTATGGCCACATTTCAGAGTAATAAAGCTCTTTATTAGGCTGTGCATCAAGTTAGCTTTACTTAGGAGACAATTCCAATTAAGGTGACCAAATACTTAGAATAGAAAGTCTCTTGTATACCAAGGTGCATTAAGATGGTCAGCTGATATGATTTTAGGTTAGTGATTTTCCACTATTAAATCTTTTTTATCTACCTGTTCCTAGAATGCTTGTTATATGGTGGGCACTCAACAACTGTATTTGAAAGAACAAATGATAAAATGAATGACACCTGTAGTAAACTGTACACCACACATTCTATTTTTATCATCGTCAGTGAAACAAGTTACCAAACTATGTTTGGACAATATAAGACAGAGTCTAGTAAAACATTCTTTGAAACAGGATCATCAAAGATATCCTATCTCAAAATAAACTGCTTTTAATGTTAAGAAGTAGTAGAAACAATGGTCCTATAAAAATGTATATGCAAACTATAGATTTAGTACATAAAGCTTAAGACCTAAATCCACTGAAAATAAGAAACTCACTAAAACAACCCCAAACTGTATCTTATTTATATTATATTTATAGGTCACTATTCTTTTAGACAGAAGCAACTGTCTTTTAATCATACTTTTCTTTCATATTTTTACTATTACCATTTCAACCCAATCCACCTTGAAAGTTTATATCTGGTTATGCTTCAGTTACTGTTGTATTATAAAAGTATTTCTAAAGGGCTTGCTCTCCCTCCTAAATCAGACAATTCACCACTGTGATAGCAGAGGCAGTGTATTAGGATACAGACCTGGTAGATGTGGTCATGAAAGCATGGGGAAGTTCTTTTTTAACTGAAACAGGATGCCAAATATCAACCAGGTGGAAGGCAGGAGTAAAAAATGTTGCATATTTGACAGAATGAAATAATTGCTTAGAAATATGGTAATAAGAATGGACTAGGAAAATGTTAGGATTTTAAATGAGAGCATAGTTGTCTTACATTGCTTAATGCAATGATAATTATTGATACAATGCTTGAAAGGTAGTCTTTAATATCCTGCCACTAATCTTTTACAACCTAAGATAATCTCTAGGATGCAATGAATATCATCTAAAAATACAGCTCTGATCAGTTTCCTCATGATTCAAAAGCATTTAATGGTTATGAGCTCGTGTAAACTCCTCAGGATAATATCCTTTACATCTAAGCCTCATCTTATCTTTCTAGGCTTCTCCTTCATCACATTATCTCCAGATGTTTGACATTTTCAGCTCTATAACTATGGAACTTCTTGAGCTATTTTATGCACTTTCAGGCCTTTGCTTTCATTCTGACTAGCATTCCTTTTGCCTGGAATACTCTTTTCACTTTCTTAGTCATATGAAATCCTATTCATTCTTTATGATTCAGGTAAAATGCTACAGCATTCATCCATTCAACTAATATTTAAATACCTAAAATGTGTCAGACACTGGAGATACATAACAAGAAAATGCATAGCGATATATCACTACAGCAGTATACCTGTTCAGCTGTTATGATGAACTAGAGTTACGTAACACTGACAAATCTTTAAAACAACATTAAGTAAACAAGCTAGCTGCTAAAGGATCTATACATTACTGACAGTTAAAATAATGCAAACCAGCACTGTATATGTAATTAAAATTAAAACATAAAGGTACTTGGGAGAGAGGTTACCCCGAGCAAGAGGAAAAGAATAGAATGGGGTAGAGCTGACAATTACTTATATATTTATTTCTCCAGTTGGGTGGTGAGTACAAATGTATTATAGTTTTTTTCTACCTTTTTTTGAAAAGGATTTGTGCCTTCCTGAAGGCAATGCAAATCTGTCATGGAACCACTAATTTAAAATTACCTTCCATCTCTTGTACTTCCCTGTGTTTCTCCTATTTTCATTACGCACACATTAGTACACCAGGCCTTAAGGGTAGGAAATTCCAGGTACCAGCTTCAGGTAGATCAGATTGGGTAATCTTCCTCCGAGCAAATTCCTGACCGATTCCCTCCCGTCCTCCGGGTACCCAACTAGGACTTCAAAGAACTTCGACCTCACCTCCTCAGCCCATGCTGCAATATCTCCCCTCAAATCCCGATTACTGCCCCATCCTCCCAGTATACCTCTCAATACGTGCCCTGAGCAGAACCAGAACGTGCCCCCCCGCCACGAACCCTGCAATGTGTCGCTTCAGCGGACCCCGGTCCCCTCCCATCAGAGGCTGCTTTCCTTCCTTCTCACCTCTAGCCCAGCCGCCACGACCCGGCCAGGCCCAGCGCCGCGACTCTTACGTCTGGCTGGTGGGGCTGTAATTCAATTCGCTCCCCATTACCTCCTCAGCATCACTTAACGGCCTCACCTCAGAAACCCCACGTCCAGACGGAGTAGGGCTGAATCGGCTCTCTGCGCATGCGCAAAACCCTGATTTGGGGGCAGGGTCTGATTCTACTGTTTGACCTCCCGGCGCGCTCGCGGAAGTCTCGCGATATTTGCTTCTCTCGCGGGAGTCGTTTGAATGCTCTGGCGGTAACCACGCCCTGTGCGCTCAGAGGTCTGCTCGGGGGGAGTCTGAGGAGACTCTGGAGAAGTCCGTTTGCGGCGCTGGGGCCGTCTGCATCCGAGCGCGGGTAGGGTTCGTCCCGGCGCCATTAAGGAGGCCGTTCGCCTGGCGCGCCGCACCAGAACCAGGCGAGGCTCGCGGTGGCGCTGGGCCGCACCTACGGCACGGTAAGCGCGGCCGGCCCCGCGGCCCCCCGCCTCGGCTTCTGCCGCCGCCCTTCGCCCTCCCTTGGCGCAGCTAGGACACCAGTTGTTACACTCCAAAGTAATGTGGACAGTCTTCAGACAAGAATTATAGAGAATTTTGGACGTTAGTATCATTTTCACCTTGTCTGCTTTTATTTAGAGAACCGTATCTTATTTAATAATCATAGTAGTCCTGTGTGTCTTTTTAGGTTCGCAGTTCATTGATTTTTATGCACTTTAAAAATATTTAAATACATCTATAACATATTTAAACATATGTATACCTTAGATATATTTAATGAAATATTAAATAGACAGTATGTAATAATTACTATAATTAATAAATCAATATGTTTAAAGTATATATACGTTTATGCCCTTTAATGATTTTAACAAAACACATTTCTTGATCATTAACAAAATAAGTGCATGTTTGTTACAAACCAAGTGTTTTTCGGGTTAGTGCATTTATTGTCTTTTATTCTGATTTAATTTAAGATACAGAAAGTGTTAGGTACAGAAGCTTGAATTTCAACTTTGAGACTTTGTGTGACATTTTCAGCATTTCTTTTCCTCAAGCCACTAATTTCTTTATTGGTGGGATTACACAGACAGGTTTTCAAAAAATTTTGCTTCTCCCACTGGATTTTTTAAACTTTTTTGATTAGCAAATATTTATTTTGCATGGCTCAAAGAATCACTTCTTCCCTAGTCCCCATCCAGTACTGTTGCTGATAGTCTTCTACAGGTAACCAATTTTAATTAGTTTCTTGTTTACCCTTCCAGTCTTCATGCATATGCATGCAAATAAGAATATTTTCTGCTATGTTGTGTACTTTTTTCCCCCCACTTAACATTAATTCTGGATATTTCTCCTTATCAGCATTTAATTAAACTTGAGTATTCGTTTTTTTCTGTTACATATTCCATTTTGTAGATATATTCCAATTTATAGTCATTCCTCTACAGACAGACACTTGTATTGTTTCTAGTCTTTAGATAATAGAAACAGTGCTTCAGTGAATATATATCATTTCCTACATTTGCAGAGGTAACTGTCAGATTCTCAAAACAGAATTGCTGGATCAAAGAAGAAATGTATTTGTAAATGTGATAAATATTGACAGTTGCCCTTCATAGAGTGGTCCATTCTGTACTCCTGATTCAGCGGAGAATGAGAGTTTGTTTGTTTGTTTTTTGAGGGGATTTGGTAACAATAGGAAGATAATTGGCAGGATGTTTTCTAATAGATGAGAAAATTTTTAAGTAAAATCCTGAAAAGTTTGGAACTATGAGTTAGAATGATAAAGGGTGTATCAAAAAGAAATTGCTGTCTGATGTAAGAAGGCTTAATTTAAAAATTCAGTGTTGAATTGGGATCAGTGTTTTTTCATTTACTAAATTGTACCTTTGCAACATTTCTCTGAATGGATTCAGGTTTATTTAGAAAAATCAAAAGAATCTTTTGCGATCAAAATCTGTGCTGCTTGCTCCATGACAAAAGTAATTCAACAATCGAAGAAATAGAGTATAAAGATTTGACAGTCATAGGATGGTGCTGGAGACAGACTTTTATCAGTGTTTCTGTGAAGGATTTGTTTTATATTTCTGGTGATTAAATAAAACAGTTTCTCAAGAGCCATTTGTTACTTAATCTCAAATAAGCCATGATGGTCTGTATATATGTACCAGCAGTAGATTGAGAAACAGAATTTGCAGCAGTTTATTACTTTATTTCACCAAACAAAAGGAAGATAATGAGAAAAATTAAGACAGTGACATTTTGAGTAAATTTAATTATTTTACTTTCTTCTTGAAGCTCTTCTAGAAATTTTATCAAATTTTTTTTTTTGTTTTTGACAGCTGGCCAGTATGGGGATCTGAACCTGTGACCCTGGTGTTATAAGACTGTACTCTAAACAATTGATCTAACTGGCCAGACTTGTCAATTTTTATTGGCATTAACAGTGGGTGTGTGTATCGTTTAAAAAATTTCTGGATTAAAAACTTGCAGGGTTTGTATAATTGTAGAGGAAAAAATGTCTGGGAATTTAAAATACACAAGAGGTTTTCAAAAAGTTCATGGAAAGTTTTGCATATCTTTTAACTACTTTTCCATGAATTTTTGAAATACTCTTGTATATATAAATATCTCTCACATTGAAGTGACCTTATACATATTTTTTTCTGTAGGGTAAAATAATAAAATTATAATTAAGAACTGATTTATTAGATTACACTAGCTTTAATTTTTTAAAAAATAAGAAACCAGTTTCAGGTAAATATATTTAAATGAGTGGGTAAATAGTTTTAGCTAAATGTATGTAAATGAGTGCTCTATGTAGGAAGGAAGGCAAAAGACAATATATATATATATATATATTTTCCCCACAAATTATTGTGTTCTTATATTTGGCAAATATTTCTGACAAGGGTTGAGAGTAAATAAAATGTATATTTAGTATACATATGTTATCTTACCAAGAAGGGTCTGTCATCCACTGCCCACATATCTAAGAAATATCTCATGCTAAAGTTTGCAGAATTAAAGATTAGTATTTATTTGAATGCCATTTAAAGGAGCCCATGATAGGCAAGGGAACTTTTAAGACCCTGGGTTCCCTGATAGCTTAGAAGCACAAGCATTTATACAGCAAAATCATGAGTGGGGGATCCTGGGAGTTGTGCGCGAATCTGATTGATCAGTGGTGAGGTCTGGCATCTTAACTGATATTTTCCATGGTGCCTTAGGGTCCATGTAATGTGTGCTTCAAAACAGGTTTGTTATTTGTTTGTTATCTGCAAAGACAACTGGAGATTGGCATTACAGATGTTATCCTAAGCCATAAGGCATTTATTTAAGGAACAAACGTTCTGACCTTAAAATCAAGTCTTAGCCTAAGGAGCAAACATTCTGACCTCCAGATCAAGTCGTAGCCTAAGGAACTTTGTTGAATCAACTCTAGTCTTACTATTGTTACTTCTAAAAATTCAGTCCATTCTGCCTGGTCAAGCAGTTTTTCTTTAGCTTTCTCTGTTCCTCCCCAGAACTGGAGTCAGGGGGATAGTTAAGAGAGATTGGGGTTTGTTTCCAGTTTCACCTATGTGTGAAATTAGCATTATTGCTTTTCTTTTTTTGTGTGAAGTGTAGCCTCCTTATGAATTATTAAAGCCTTGAATTCTGAACTTGGGGAAAATCAAATGGTTGTTATTATAATGCCACTTGGGAATGAGTTTTGATTTGTTTTTGTTTCAGTACTGAGGCAAATAGCAGTGAAGTTCAATTTTTGGCATGCCAAATTTTAAATAAGTCCCTGGAAAATATGCCACAAAATGCCCAGATTGATAAAATTTATTGTATATAAAATTAATGGCTGCTTGGAAGTAGGCAAGAGAGCATGCCTGGGGGCCTTAGGCAGGACCCAAGGGCAGCCCCCTCCACCTGGAAGCAGGCAAGAGAACATGCCCAAGAGCCTGAGGCAGGAGCTGAGGGCAGCCCTCTCAGCCTGCAAGCAGGAAGAGGGCATGCTGGGGTCCTAAGGCAGGAATCCAAGGCAGCATCCCTCACCCAGAAGCAGTCAAGGAGCTCACCAAAAACACCACGTCTGTGTGGGTGGCCCACCACAGCCACTGCCACAGCCATGGCTGCTGCAAAAGCAGTGGACACCACAGAAGTAGCCACAGTTGCCACTCATCCGGTTCGCAGACACTCAACTGCATTGGTACAAGGAGAATCACTAGTGAAGACTGGAAAAAGAAGAGGATGTCTCTTTCCTCAAAGCCCACTCCAGAGTATTAGAAGAAGCAGCTGCTGTACCAGATGACCAGACGTCAACGTAGAGATACTAGAAATATGAAAACCCAGGAAAATATGACATCACCAAAAGAATACAGTAATTCTCAAATACCAGACCCTATAGATCAGGAAACCCTTCAAGTGACTGAATAGGAATTCCAAGCAACAATCTTAAGGAAACTCACTGAGATACAAGAAGACTGAGTTAGACAACATAATGAAATGAGGAAAAAAATCCAGGTTATGAAGGAGGAACTTTACAAAGAGATTAACACCTTAAAAAAGAATGTAGCAGAACTCATGGAACTGAAAGATTCATTCAGTGATATAAAAAACACAACTGAGAGGTTAAGCAGCAGACTAGAACAAGCAGAAGAAAGTATTTCTGATCTTGAAGATAGTCTTTTCGAAATAACCCAGTTAGACAAAAAAGGAAAAAAGAATATAAAAAATATGAAGAAAATCTAAGAGAGCTAGCAGACAAGTTTAAGTGCATAAACATTCTAATTGTGGGTGTTCCAGAAGGGGAGGAAAAACGAAAGGGCATGGAAAACCTATTCAACCAAATAATAATGGAAAACTTCCCAGGTGTAGGGAGAGATATGGACTTTCAGATCCAGGAGGCTCAAAGATCCTCAAACAGATTCAACCTAAATAGATCCTCTCCAAGACACTTTATAGTCACACTGGCAAAGCTCAGAGACAGAGAATCATAAAAGAAGCAAGAGAAAAGCATCAAGTCACTTATAAGGGAGCCCCTATCAGACTAACAGCAGACTTCTCAACAGAAACTCTACAGGCCAGAAGAAAATGGGATGATATATTCAAAATACTAAAAGAAAATTGCCAGCCGAG